AGTCTGCATAGCTGGAATGGGAAGGACCTAGGCAGCAGATATGCTTGTGTTTCCCAGTGAGGAGGTAGGGATGTGCACGGCCTGTGGGAAGAGGAATGGGTGAAGGGGGATGTAGATGAAATTTGGTAGGATTGAGGAGTTAGTACTTTTGACTTAATTTAGAGACGGGAAGAGCATCCCTGATGGTGGTGATGCATCAGGGAAAAAGTTGAGGAAATTAGTCTGAAGTCTGTGGGACTGAGACTCTTACTCGTAAGTAAGATTGAATGGAGAGGTGCAGTAGCACTTGTAAGAAGGTAGAGCTTGGAGAACTGAATTATTATAAATAGAGTGGGAATCCCAGCATGCCAATAGTCATCCTAGCCCAGGTCCCCTTTCACCACTCTGTTTGATGCTCTCTCCTCTTCTTATCCTTAACCATCTCGGAATCACACTTAATTTTATTTTATTTTACTTTATTTTATTTTTGATAGGGTCTTGGTCTGTCATTTAGGCTGGAATGCAGTGGCATGAATGTGGCTCACTGCAGCCTCAACCTCCAGGGTTCAAGTGATCCTCTTGCATCAGCCCCCCAAGTAGCTGGGACTACAGGTGCACACCACCATGCCCAACTAATTTTTGTTTTTTATTACAGATGAGGTTTTGCCATGTTGCTCAGGCTGGTCTTGACCTTCTGAGCTCAGGCTCCTAAAGTGTTGGGAATACAGGTGTGAGCCACTGTGCCCAGCCCACACTCTTAATATAAAACAGTGCAGGAGTGTATAGGTGAAACACCTATTTGAAACCTATTGTATTAGTCCATTCTCACACTGCTATAAGGACATACCTGAGACTGGATAATTTATAAAGAGAAGAGGTTTAACTGACTCACAGTTCTGCATGGCTAGGGAGGCCTCAGGAAACAATCATGGCAGAAGGGGAAGCAAACACATCCTTCTTCACATGGCAGCAGGAAAGAGAAGAATGAGCACTGAGTGAAGGGGAAAGTCCTTTATGAAACCATCAGATCTTGTGAGAACTTACTATCACTAGAGTAGCATGGGGGAAACTGCCCCCATGATTCAATTACCTCTCACTGGGTCCCTCCAATGACCCATGGGGATTATGGGAACTACAATTGAAGATGAGATTTGGGTGGGGACACAGCAAAACCATATCACCTATCATGAAAGTGAAGGAGAGAGCAAGAAGTGGAGGTGGGTAGTAGTAATAGAGGTTGACATAATTTCTTAGGACCCCACTTGCCTCTCAGTACCTCTCCTCATTCCCTTTAAGGGTGTCTGTTATAAACATGGGACTTAAGGAATGAAGATGACTCTGAAACACAAAAGTTGATTTTAAGTGACTGTGATATTGGGGATTTTACAGTGAACAGGACAGGCATGGCCCCTGGCCTGCTGGAGCCCGCAGTCCATGGGGGAAACAGACAATCATAAATCAAAAGTAAACCATAAAGATCGTTTCAGATGAGTACTTGGAAGGAAATGAGCACAGTGATGTGATAACTGGAGTGTTGGGAGATAGGTGGTGAGGCAGGGCCTCTCTGAGGTGACACTGAAGGAGGAGAAGGAACCAGTTGTCCCAAGAGTTGAGGGGAGAGTACTCCAGACAGAGGGCACAGCACATACCAAGAGCCTAAGGTGGTAAAGGACTGGGCAGGTTTGAGAGGAAGGGAGGGCTTGTGGCTGGAGCTCAGAGACTGGGGAAGTGCTGTGAGAGAAAGGGAGGAGGCAGGGCAGAATCATGCTGGGCCTTTTAGGCTGCGAAGAGGAGTTTGGATTTTATTCTGTGTGCAGTGGGAAGCCACTGAAGAGTGTTGTTACTATGGAGGGATAGAAGTCTAGATTTTGAAAAGATCACACTGAATTCCACGTAGAGAGAATGGATTGGAGGGTTCAGCAGTAGAGAGGATACAGACAGCAGATCGTGTCCTGGACCCTGATGGAGCTGGGAGGTGGAGAGGACCAAAGGAGGTCTCTTTTGAAGACAGAACTGATATTGGATTTGCGGGGGGGTGGGGCAGAGGAAATGGCCTAGTGTGGAAGTCATGGGGGCATGCTAAAGTGAAAGCTGACATTCTCTCTTCTAACAAATATATACCAGTTTTTAACAGTTCTGGTGTGTCAGGCTCTATGCTAGGTGCTGTCATATAAATAATCTTAACCACTTCAAAGACTTTTTTTTTTTTTTTTTTT